ATTTATTCCCAGGAATTTCATTCTTTTAGATATTATTGTAATTGTCTTATTGTTTTCCTTTTCAGATTGTTCATTATTGGTGTACAGAAACACAACTAATTTCTATGTGTTGATCTTGTACCTGGTAACTTTGCTGAATTTATTAGTTCTAGTAGCTTTCTTGTGAATTCTTTGAGATTTTTTATATATCAAATCATGTCATTTGCAAATAGAGATAGTTTTGGTTCTTCCTTTACAATTTGGATGTCCTTTATTTCCTTTTCTTGTCTAATTGTTCTGGCTGAACTTCCAATAAAATGTTGAACAGCGGTGGTGAATGTGGACATTCACCACATGTCAAATTCCTGATCTTGGGAAGAAGCTTTCAGTCTCTCACCATTGATTATGATGTCAGCAGTGGGTCTTTCGTAAATGTCCTTTATCACGTTGAGGAAGTTAAGGGAAAGTGAGTTTTAAAAATGCTATTCATAGAAATAATTGGAGGCCTAGAATGATAACATCTTTCTTTAGAGAGAATTTTCTATTGCTTTTGCTAGCTCCTAGGTGCTTGAGCAAGACAGGATTGGGGTTTCTGGGTACCTACAAAAAGAGGGAAGTTTGACTTATTTCCTGCTCCAGGGGTACAGCCATTTGGGGTTCTGTCACAAGGCAGAGGACGGGTTTACTGGGTCCCCACCCTTGGAGACTCCTGGACTCAAATTCATCTTTCTGATTCTGTGTGCAGCTGCCAAAGCTGGAAAGGCAGCCCACGTGCTGCACACAGCTCTCCGCATTCTTCTCCTATTGGATTTAGGCCTACTGTTCCCTCATTATCTCCATAATCTTTGATACTTTTAAGGAGATACTTAAAAAATATTCCCCCTGGTTTCTAAGTTGTCTTTAGTAGGAGAAGTAGCTGTCTGCCATTCCTAGAAGTAGAGTTTCTCCCCTATTACTCTTCCAGAGGCAGAAATTGTGAGATCCAAGTACAACTCTCTGCTGCGTTAGAGAGGCTGCCAAGGGTCTAGATTCTTTCTCATCCATTTATGTATAGAGAGGTGCAGGTCAAAAAGAGCAGGAATCTGAAACACGCATGTGGTGAGTGAGGCATTTGTAAGTTTTCCTCGTCTCCCCTGGTGCAAGCAGCCCTGAAACCCGTCTTTCAGCAAGAAGCTCAGCCACCTTGTTGTGCTCTGCTCAAGAACAATGGTCTTGGCCGGGTGTGGTGGCTCATGTCTGTAATCCCAGCACTTCGGGAGGCCAAGGTGGGCGGATCACCAAGTCAAGAGATCGAGACCATCCTGGCCAACATGGTGAAACCCTGTCTCTACTAAAAATACAAAAATTAGCTGGGCATGGTGGTGGGCACCTGTAGTCCCAGCTACTCAGGAGGCTGAGGCAGGAGAATCACTTGAACCCAGGAGGCAGAGGTTGCAGTGAGCTGAAACCGTGCTACTCCACTCCAGCCTGATGACAGAGTGAGACTCCATCTTAAAAACAAACAAACAAACAAACAAAAAAACAAAAAAACCCAAAAGAACAATGGTTTTGTCTATTAGTCCCATCTGATCTAGGGAGAAGAAAAGCTGTAACTTGGTTCCAGGGGTCTCCAAGAATCTTCCATAACACTAGGACATGTATTATTATAATGCTTTTATAAGAGACAAACACTGAAGATCAAAGAGAGTCAATGAGTTATCCTGATCAGTGCCAGGGAGGCTAAGCTTAGGCCAGCACCCTCTGTCCCTCATTTTCTCCCTCCCTTCTTTCTGTTCTTTTCCTCCCTTCCCTTTCATTCTTCTTTCCTTTCTTTATGATTCACTCCCATGAAATCAACTCAATTTAACTACTTTTATCTCCCTATCTATATCTCCAAATTACAAGTGTTCATCAAGGTAACTTTGGCTGTTACATTTAATACAACGGGATTAAAAAATTCTGTAAAACATAGTATGAAATAAAATTTTTAGGAGGCCATTGATTTGGACAGAGCTCCCACCGACAGACCAAATTAAAATGGAGTCAGTCATGCTAAAGTCCTAATCCACCAAGCTGAAACTCAGTTGTTTAGTTGACTTTATGAGAAATCAGGAGAAGGAGAGGAAGAGGGGTGGGGGAAAGACAGAGAGAGAGAGAGAGAGAAAGAGAGAGAGAGAAGAGAGAGAATAGACAAATGTCCAAAAAGGCCAGTTTGAGCAGACATGATAAGGAAGTTCCCTGTTTTAACCATTATAAGTAAAGTAGCTTTGAAACAACTAATCTGCATTTTGTTCCTCATTTCTACTTTCTTCAATCTTTTTCTGTCTATACTGCCCACATGGCAGAGTGGAGTTCTCTCAACCTCTTATGATTCTGAGGGCTGCCTTATTCATGAATGATTCATTGTTTAAGTAAACTCTGTTAAATTTATTTGTCTAAAGTTTTTCTTTTATCAATAGAACTGCTTTTTTATCAACAGAAATGCGAAGTAATTTTAATTTCTAGATCAGTCTCTTTCTCTGGATGCAAACGAAATTTTACAGCAAAGGTATATCCCTCTCCTAACCCACCTTCACCAAAATCTCCTGCTGTGCTGCTTGGCGCTTTCTTTCCATACCTTTCAAAATAAATAAATAAAACAAATCAATTCACATATATTTTGAAAGCATCTCTCAATCATAAATGGGAGATCACTGGAGGTCACCAACTGGCTCCCTTCTCTATTTAATTCATCACTGACACCTCCTAAACATCTCCCAAACACACCCAGTTCTCAACTTCTCCACTATCCCTGCCTTAATCCAAAACACTATCACCTCTTGCCAGCAGACAGTAACAGCCTCGGAACACTCTTTCACTTGGGCACCCCTCAACCCATTTTTTGGTATTGTGGTCAGAAAGCTCTTTTCAAATCTCCTTATCATCTGATTCTTTTTTTCTGGCGGGGGGGAGGAGTTGGGGGGGAACTGTGTAGTCTTCTCCATAACACTGAACCCAGTGTGCCGGCAGTCTTCCCAGTAGACTGAAAGTTCCCTGAGCACAGGGGCCTTGCAACTCATTCTTCGATCTTCAGTGCCAGGCACATAGTGGGTGTATACTATTTTTTGAATAGCATACAATGTCAATACAATGTAATTCACTAATTTATTAGGCTATTGTCTCTTTCTCTCTGAGTCCCTTAAAGGCAGGGATTTTTGTGTTTTGTTCACTGATGTACCCTAAGAATGTTAAAAAAAAAAAAAAGGCCTTATGATTAGAGAGCTCTTTATGAACTTTTTTGTTGGAGGAATGAATGAATGGATGAATGAATGAAGGAATGAATGGGGGAGATGATCACAATGCGAACCTAACTTCCTGCCAGTCCAGGGTCATGCCTTGTATTGTTTCAAGCTCTTAAAAAGTGGTGCACTACGAACTTCTAGGCAGAAAGTGTCTCCAGGAAATTGGAATTTGCACTGGAGTGCTCTAAACAATGCTGGCCAGAGGCTTAGTCCTGTTACAGATAAGAACTGGGGGAGAAGGCAGCGTTTGGCCACGGGCCAGCATTTTGAGATCAGCCACTTTATCTGTGGAATTCCCTACCCCCTGTTCATCCCTTGGCCATCTCGTTAAATTGGAAAATAAATCCCATCCCTGCTAAGGTGTTGGCTGATAAAGGCTTGAGCTATAGCCCCTTCAAGGGGAATTTGCATTTTAATAGAGGATCGTCAAGCCCCAAAGGAATCAATATCTCTAACGGTGAAATTTCAAGCACCAGCAACTGAGATATTTTGGGACGACACTCTCCAGCGTTTCTCATCCAACAGTAAGGTCTGCCAGAAAGCCACGGAAGAATGGTCTCAGGAAATGACCGGCCGTTTCCCTTTATTACTCTGAACTTTGCCTTTTCACGTCTGGTCCCTTCAGACTCCCTAACGCTGGTGGATCTCTTAATCTGTCAATGCAGCCCTTTTCAACACAAGCAGCGTCTTAAAGGTAGCTCATCAACGGGCCACAAAGGAATTATGGCAATCAAAACCTTCAGGTTTTCCTGGTATTCCAAAGGAGCCAGTACTTAACTATTTTAAACTCTATGCTGGCAAGAGGGAGTGGAGATGGTTTAATCGGTTATTAATGATATTGCGCATTTAAATTCGTTTTGTGCAAATTTTTTTTAAAGCCCAAACTTTTAACTTGTATCAAAAGCGTGCAAACCAAAGGTGGGTAAGAGACATCGTATGTGTCCTGGCAATGTTCTCAATGTCCTCCGGAGCTGAGTTCTCGGCGGATGGCTTGGGATTCTCGAACTGCAGAAAAGCGGCATCTTGGATCTTGGATTTCTGCATTCGAGAGAGGCTCCTGTCCGCCACACCTGCGGCCCAGCACCCGGAATTTCCCTCCTGTCTGCTCCCAGCCCGTCTTCCCATCCTCCGCGCCCCGCGCGCCCATCCCGCGCCGGCCCCAGGCTCTGAGGGCTCGGCCTGCCCGCCGCCCGGCTCCCGGGCCCCTCCGCGCCGCCGACCTAGGGCTCCGCCGCGGAGGCTGGTGCCCTTGCCCTTGATGCGCTGCCGCCCCCGCTCTCCTTCCGCAAACCCGCTGCAGCCAGGGCGCGAGGCGTGAGCGCGGAGGCTGGGCCGCGAGGACCGCACCTGCGCCTTCCCTGCCCGGCTCCCGGCTCCCGCTCCGGCCCCAGCTGGGGCCCAGGGCACGGCGGCGGGGCTCGCGCCCGCGGACGGCAGCGGCTCGCGCCCGGTACGGCAGCAGCGCGGCTGCGCCGCGCTCGGGCCGGGAGCGCCGCGGGGCGGCGCGGGCGAGGGCGCGGCCGGCGCGGCGGCCGGCGGGCGGCGCCGCGGGCAGCGCGGCATGGGCGGGCCCGGCGTGGCTGCGGGCCTCCCGGCCTCCAGCCCGGCCCGGCCCGCTCCGGCGCGCCGGGCCGCCGCGCCCGTAGCCGCTGGGAGCCTCCCCGCACCCGCGCACTTGCCTCGGACCCTCTGTGAGGAGAGGCGGCGCGGCGGCGCGCCGGGCCGGGCGAGAACGGGCGGAGGCGGCGGCCGCCCGGCGCGATGCCTCCGGCCGGCAGCTCCCGAGCGCCGCGTCCCGCCGCGCTGCCCCGCAGCCTGTCCCGCCTGCCCGAGTGCCCGGGCCGCTCCCGCATCGTGCTGGCGCTCGGGGCCACGCAGATGGCGCTCGGATGCCTCATCGTGGCAGTCAGCTTCGCCGCGCTGGCGCTCACCACCTCGGCCCGCGTCCGCCACTCCTGCCCCTTCTGGGCAGGCTTCTCGGTGAGTGTCCGCGGCCAGACGGGGACGGGCTCCGGGTACTGCGCGGGCCGGGGGAGCGAGGCGCTGTGGCCGCCGGGACGCCACCGCGGGCGGCAAGTTCCGGGCTCCAAAGCCGGGGCCGAGCAGCTGCAGCGCGGGGCGCAGTTCGAAACTCCGAGCAGAATAACTCCAGGGCCCGGCTCGCCGCTCTCGGAGCATCGCGTTCCCGCTCCTATTGCGCTGATTCCCGGAGTTACTTTTCTTAGAGGAAACAGCAGCCAGGCGCCCGCCGTCCTCCGAGCCCGCAGCGGCCGGAGGGAGCGCCGGGGACACGACCTCGCCAGCCGAGCGGCGGAGGCCGAGGCGAGGAGGTGGAATCCGACCCGGAGCGGAGCAGCGTGTGGGCGCGCCTCTTGCCTTCGCGGCTGCCCTGGCCGGGGGTGTGAGGGGGTGGGCGCGGGGCGCGTCCCGTCTGGTTTTGGGTCAGTCCGGCTATCGGGGACCGGCCAGCCCCTGTGGTCACTCGCCGACTTGGCTTCGGGGACTTGTGGTTTCCCGCGTCCGCCCAGAACGGCGTGGTTTGTGGGCAGCGGGACTGGGCAGGCGACCCGCATCCGGCATCCTGGGGCAGGGGCCAGGGGGCGGGGGCCGGGGGACGGGCAAGGTGCGGGGACCGTGGCTGCTTTCTGAGCTCCAGACCTTAAGGATGACCGATTTTCAGACTCTTAACCACTAAATCAGAGAAGCCAGTGATGAACACATCTCCATAGGAGAAAGACACCAGTACATCTCTATTAAAGTGACTGTCCCCAAGAGTTAATTTTTGGCGTTTTGTAGCATTTTGATGCAAGTTGTTTTTTTTCCCTATATTAACAAAGAATGGACGTTATGGGAATGGGAGAGATACATATGCAGAGCAGATATTTATGAAGAGTGGCGCTTGTTCTGAGAACTCTTGACATCTGTAACTGCATTTGGTGTATCGTGCTGAAATACATCGCATAGGCTTGTTAACTCAGTATGTTTTAATTCCATCTACAGAAATCCAAACCATTCCTTTATAACTAATGTTTGCTATTTGTTCTTGAGTTTTAAAATTTGAAAACATTCGTCCAGCCTTGCTTATTTGTTTTTTTCATAATAGTCTTTGTTCTTTAAGTTCATTGCATGGCTTTTACCAAAAGAGCTGAGCAAAATTGCCTCTGGAAACCTCTATCGATACAGGTGTGGTTGTTCATCCTAATGGGGGTATTAAGTTTCAAAGCTTATTTCAGATCAAGGGTGAGCCTTGGAGAGCTGAATAGGAACAACAGACTGTGTGGTCACAGCTGGGAGTGTTCAAAGGAAAGAGAGGAGGTTGGAGGCAAGCACACGGGAGCCGTGATTTAAATGCCCCTCTCTATATAGTTTTCACACATCTGTTGCTCAGTTTTTACCATTGTTTAATATACATTGTTTTCATGTCTGTCGAGCGGTCATTGAGGTTAAAGTCTGCTGGATCCAGCCTACAGGTGGCAGACTGGTGAATTAGCTCCACGTCCTGGCTCCTCCCTGAGCCCCCCCCCACCTTCCTGGTTTAGCCTTGGGTTCCCAGGGGTGTGGAGAGAGAACTGCCTCTTAATGATAAACCTAAAGGGGAAAACATGAATTGGACACAGTAGAAAAGCTTATTTATGTGAAAAGTGCACATCCCCAACATTTTAGTTTAAAGAGTTAAATAAATGTGTAAAACAGTTAATTCAGTTTACATTTGCAGTGTTATTCTCTTCAACAACTCTAACCTGGTTTTTTTTTTTTTTTTTTTTTTTTTTGCCTTAAGAGGCAGGATCTCGCTCTTTTGCCCAGGCTGGAGTGCAGTGGCACTATCATAGCTCACTGCACCCTGGAACTCCTGGGCTGCAGCGATCCTCCTGCCTCTGCCTCGCAAGTAGCTAGGAGTGCAGGTGTGTACCACCATGCGTGGCTAATATTAAAAACTTTTTGTTTTTTTTTTTAAAGAGATGGGGGTCTCATTATGTTGCCCAGGCTGGATTCAAGGGATGCTCCTGCCTCGGCCTCCCAAAGCACTGAGATTACAAGCTTGAGCCACCGTGCCCGGCCTATAACCTGTTCTAACTTCTTATGATTCAGAGTAATTCCACACAGTTCTCCTACGTATGGACGTTCCTCTAGGCTCTGGAGATCAACAATGAACACAGCACACTCTGCTTACATTTTGGAGATTATAAGATGACTTCTGTCCTGGGTCCTCCATCTCCCACCCACCTATTTCTTCATGGGCTTCTTTTCTGTCTTCAAACTTACTTTGCTGCAAGCACCTTGAAAGTTCTTTCAGTACGGTACAGTGTATACCATTTTTCACCTGTTGTCTGCAACCCTTTGCAGAAATGATGATTCGTTCCTGCTGTATTGAGACAGGTTTGCATGTTAACATGGTTGTGAGTAGGGAACGCTGACCCATTGCCGTATATATGTCTGCCTGCTGGGATTGGTGCAACTGCCTTGCCAAGGTTTCTTCATTTAAGAATGGCAACTGGGCTGGCTGGGCTGGCTTCATACAGAAATGCACACTGTGGGGCTTAGGGCTTCCCTCTGGTTTCTCTAAATCTTCTAAAGTGAGACCTATGTGCTCTTTAGCAACATATGGCTTTCTAGGCCCTCTCCTTGGTTTGCACATGGTGAAAACCCATTGTAAAAAGACCTCCTAGCTTTAAGAAACAAAATTATTAGCTAAGACAGACAGCCCATGCTTAGTGAGCACTTACTTATTGTGTGTGTAACAGCCCATTACTCTGGTAGCCTCTGCCTGCTGGTGCTCAGGGTTTTGTGTGGTTCCCTCTGCTTGAGTTTGGACTGGGCCTCTGATTTGTCTTAGCCAGTGGAACACAGCGGAACTGAGCCTGACTCTGTTCTGAGCCAAAGCCTTAAGAAATCTTGGTGCTTCTGCTGAGTAAACTGAGGGGAAGAGGGATGAGTGACTTACCCAAGGTCACTCAGCTACGAAGTAGCTTTGAACTTAGTTGCCCTGACTTTTTAGAGGCCAAACTCCTGCTAACCATTAGGCAGAAGGGGATGAAATAAAGCATGCTGGTAAAGGGGTCCACTTCAGCAAGGAGGCTCTCTGTTTCTTAGGAAAAGCATAAAACATGCCTGGAAAGGTGAAGATACAAGAGAAATTTAAGGAGCCATTCCATTGGGCCAAGTTGAAGAAGTTTAAGGTTGAAAGGGGAGGACTCGGCAAGATTGGAGACAGGAGTGGGTGGCAGGCCTGGCCGGAGGTCTGTGATGAACACAGAGCTGTGCAGTTTCCGTTGTTTGAGTACCCCTGCAGATGGTTTTCTTGTGCTGGGCTGTGCCAGCCAGTGAGTCAGCAGGTGGATCAGTTCCCTTGTGGATAGACATCCTGCCCATTTTGAGAGGTAATGAGCTGTGTTCATAGTTTAGAAGACTGAGAGAGCTGGATGGAGGTCTTGAATGGTTATCCTTTAATAGAGTAGTTTGTTATTTCTCTTGGAGATTTTATCAATGCCCAGAACTCAGGGGCAAACAGGTACATTGTGAGTTATCCACATTACCAGTTACATATGTTGATAAAGACATAACTATTGTGAGCGGACGCTCTCTCTCTCTCTCCTGTGTATGTGTGTGTGTGTGTATTTTTCCTTTAAAAAGCAACTCCACTGGATTTTTTTCATACTCTGAAAGTAATACATAAAAAGTAAAACTAACTGAAAATAAAAAAGTGGCTGGGCATGGTGGCTCATGCCTGTAATCCCAACACTTTGGGAGACTGAGGCGGGTGGACCACCTGAGCTCAGGAGTTGGAGACCAGCCTGGCCAGCGTGGCGAAACCCTGTCTCTACTAAAAATACAAAAATTAGCCAAGTGTAATGATGAGTGCCTGTAATCCCAGCTACTTGAGAGGCTGAAGCAGGAGAATCACTTGAGCCCAGGAGGCGGAGGTTGCAGTGAGCCAAGATCATGCCATTGCACTCCAGCCTGGAGGACAAGAGTGAAACTCCATCTCAAAAAAAAAAAAAAAAAAAAAAAATATATATATACACACACACACACACACAAACAATATATAGCTTTTGTCTACCCCAATTCTCTACCCATACACCACCGGTATTACCAGTGTTGTTTAATGTAGTCCTTCCACGCTTTCCTTTACAATCATAAAATGTATTAGAATATATATATATATATATATATATGTGTATGGAAAATGTTTCTTTTCTTTTAAAAAACAATTTACAAAAATGACATTATATCACCCATATTACTCTGTAACTTCTTTAAAAAATTTAATGTATAACAAATATTCCCAGCCATAACTCATTATTTAACACATTATTTTTAATGGCTGTGGAATAGTCCAAAGTATGAATTATTACAAGTTACTCAGTTATTCTCCCGCTGGGAATAATCTCTGCCAGTTCTGTGTCTCTGCAAACAGTGCTGCTTATCCAGCCCGAGATGCCACTGCTTTTTTATTTTGAGGATAGATTCCCCAAAGTGGAATTGTTAGTCAACGAGTATTCAAATTGGGAGTTTTGTTAGCTATTTCTGGATTAATTTTCACAGAAGAATGTAGGCACATCCACCCACAGAAGCCTACAGTGTGTGCCCCTTTTCCTGTCCTCTTGCAGTGTGGGATATTAGCAATGCTGAGCATTTTTATTAATTTAATAGAGGCAGAAGGATATTTCATTGGATCTGGATTTCCATGGATACTTTATTATGTGTTGCAAATATTTTCTCACTTTGCTTAATTTTTGGTTTCTTGCCAGATAGAAAATTTTAAAACTTTTAATATAATGCATCAATTTTGGGAGTACTGACAGTTTTATCATATTAAATCTTCCAATTCAGAAACAGAGTATGTCTCTTCATTTCTTTGTTCCTTGTTTTATGCCCATCAGAACATGTTTTATGGGGATGTATTCATGGTGGCAAAGTAGTTTTTCAGTCTCCCCTGAACTCCTCCTGGAAGCTAAACCAATCAGCAAGACAGCTGT